TTTTACCGACCTCAGGTAACCGAACGACTGTAGATTAACTAGCTTTACATTTTACGAGGGAAAGTTTCGTTAGTATCATTGAAGATGGGGTTGCGATTGGGATTACATGATTTACGTAGCCATACGTCAGCATGAGTGGCTGTGGAGAGTCGAGGGTGGTGTCTACTGTCAGATGCTCCGCCTATAAATCAACCATTCCGTGCTTTGCGGCAGGGGAAAGAAAGGGAATAGGGCGACGGCCATGTTAACACACCTAAACAAACCTCTTTGTTGGAGTAGTTGATAACCGGTTTGCATCACCTGGTACTATATTTTGCAGTGCCTGTCAATCAAAGTTTCTTTGATTATTTCACCTCTGTTTACAAAGGTTCATTACATCATTTATTAATACATCATGTAATTTATGCTCTGTTGGTTATTTCGACAAATATAAATTTTCATTGATGAAATTTCCAATACTGTGACCTAGATCTACGAAGTCGTAAAAACAAACCGAAAGAACATGGGTGGATTTCTGCAAGGAAAATTGGGGTATATGTACATATGACTTATAACAAGTGTCCCGTTATACTCTAATCACTCTTATAGTTGAACTGTCAAACAATTAATTGTAGTCGTTTCATTTAGTCTTCAATCCTATTTGTCATAGTAAAAATCACGAGGCTGCTAATGGTGAAAGACTCATCTGCCGAGAACCCTAAGACTAATTAGTGCGAACATTAATCTTCCCAATAGTCGTGTCTCAACCCAATTTTCGGATCTGGAATGGAGAAATAGAGACGTTGATTGGTTCTTCCAACGTTTTAATATCGCACACGTCTTGATGCACGATGCGGAGCAATGTAAAAAATAATATTCCTAATTTTTTTTTTCACCGACCCTACTTTCCGTTCCTCGTAGGTTCAGTGCGCACTATTTGGCCTCACAAGTGAGCTCATTAAAACGTCAACATCGACCTACTCGCCAAAGCTTCAGGGAGGAATCAATATCGAAGTTGACTTGGTCATAAGTCCACAATAGGCAAGGACAATTAAGAAAGCACAAGGAAGCTAGATAGTTGAACTTGGTTTAGCTTATGCGGTCGCTTGCGGTAATCGTCAATTTTAGACGTCATCTTGTTGGAATGATAGCTTAGTTAATCTTACAAATCGGTGGCGAGCTCTACGCGCGCAATATATATGAATCTTCCATAGGGCGTTTATACCACTCGGGCGTACAATGATAGATTGACCAAGGCTAAAGCGCTGTGCTTCTCTCCTCGCGAGCGGCGCGCATGCATCACGGAATGCCTGCGCGCACTACACCGTGTTCCAATTGGAGAGATAGCGAGCATACGGTTTCAATTAAGTTAAGGCTGGCATTAATTATCTATATTGTTTTACGTATTAATGATCGATATTCGAGTGGAGAATCTGCTGTTGCTGTGAAATTCATTGGCCATGTGTTCTGCCTACATCGCACATGTGTAAGCGGGGAGTGTCTGCGGGGTCGTAAGTGCGCATTCTATATCCACGTTTACGCGCACCTTCTGGATCTATCCGATAGATCGAGCGAAGCAAATTGATGAGCGAGAGCGTAAATAATTGGTTATAGTTGGCAAGGCCGTTCTTATCGACACCGATCCGGGAATGGACTAAAATAGAATTTTGAACAATCCGAAGAAAAGCAAAATATGTTAAAAAGCGCCGTGGATTGATCATACAGAAGGCATAGGTAGATAATCGCGCAATAAAACGAAAGTATCTGCCGCGTGAAAAGTAAAATTAATGTTTGAGCCGTCCTGCCTGAGCTCGCCTCCGAAGGTGTCATCAGCGAACAAACGAAAGCATCAGCGAGCGCGGGATCAAGAGAGCCCCAGCGTAACAAACAGCCCGAAATCGCATGTAGGCGCAGCGCTAAAGGGCAGCAGCGGGAGCAGGCATACAGTTGCCGTTTATCATCCTCTTATGGGGCCAAAGGGGGAAGCAGCGCGTCTTCCCGAGCGTGAGCGTGACTGTGCTCGCGGACGCTGCTAGTAGCCGATAGACGTGTCACTTATACGCGTCGCCCCCGCGCTCATCATTAGTCATTTCGTTATGGCCGACATGCCCAAAGAACTCGTGTAACGGACTTGCTGCCGCGACAAGGTCATCGGCGATCGATGTATCAAACGCGCCCGAAGAATGGCATCGCGCGACCAATTTTTCTTTTAATAATGCCGCCGCGCAGCAGCTCAAGGCCACACTGCCACGCTGACTGCTGTCGCTGCTACTCGCTTTCTCGTGCCGATGAACGATTGATGACGAACCGCCTGGTGCGGAAAGAGCCGCCTTCGTTCCCTTATCTCCTTCTGATTCCGAGGCGATGTTTGTAAATGGCCATTGTGCGCGGCGTGCAGCTATTGATTGCCACCGACGAAGACTCGTCTTGTGCTTCCATTCGCATTCGATGCTATCGCTATCGATTGCACGCGCCAGCGGAGAATCTTGCGTTCGAATGGTTTCCCGGTGGGTGCTTGTTGTTGCTTAGCCCGTAAAATCGATTGGCGACTGTACGGAAAACGAACGCGCAGGTTGCGCAAGCTGCACCGCGTGCGCACTACACCCACGCCGACTGACAGTCGTGCACGTTCTCACGTGTCAGTCGGCCACTTATCATCCTAACGATTGCTGCACCGCCACAGAGAGAAACTGGCTCGGCAGCAGCCCGCGCGCACGCCGCCCCGGCTCTTGCACCACTGCTTTCCCTTGCGTTACACGTGCTTTGCGTTTCGTGTCTCTCGTTTCTTCGTATGATTGCCGTGTAATTTACGATGATCGTAGACGCGATTCCATTCGGATTAAATTTTAGAGCGTATCGTGAGTCGAGTGAATTAATCATCAATCATGCACATAGGATGTACCAAAAAAAATCGTAGCCGATGAGACCCATCGTTTATAAAACTCTCAACGCCGCGCTCAATGCGCAAAGTATAATGGAGCTCAAATATTAATTCAATCCACACAGTCTCAAATGTCATCCGACGTACTGGCGGAGCAACTGGAAACTGCGTGGATCGCGTGGTCTATTTGCGAAAGCAAGAGCGTCTCTCGAGAGTTACGCATACGTCGTGGCACTGCGTAGAGGGTGCTACTAAGCACTCGCTCCTTTGGTCGCGCGCTTCCTCTCATCTATCATGCGAACCATGGCAAACCGACGAGTCGCTCGCTCAAAAGCAAGCCGCCGCAAGACGGAGATTTCTTTTTCTCCGAGAGAGATCCACTCTACCTGTCTACAGCCAGCGCTGCTGTCGAGAGCATCCACATTTGTTAACGTTCAAGCGTTAACAATATTTCTCTCTGTTCGCCTCTGCTTCTATACGTTTACTCGTCTCTCCGGCTTCATAATTAGATGCCTTTTTTTCCGATGAGGGATCATCGCTCGTTGTATGTGTACATGAATTATTGGTTTATTCAAAAATTTTCGACCAGCTTCTCCATTTATACTGTGGCAGCTCTCTAGCTCTCTCGCTCTCTCGTTTTTTTTTTTTGTTGTTCTTTCGGAAGAGGTGATAGATTTATTTGCCTTCGAGAGAGACGGAAGGCGCGCGCTTGATTGAGCCTCGGTTAAATAACATAACGGTACTCGTATATGCGCAGATGGACAGAGTGAATAATAGTTCATCAAAATTGAAAAAAAATTTTTTATCCCAGGACGCCTATTTTGTTTTATTTTTCTTCGTTCCCCGAGAGATGGTGAGTTGATTAAATGAGTTTTCCTTATTACTTGATCCCTTTCGCTCAGTGACAAATTGCTATGCATAACTCTTGTACGATTGGACGAGTGGCTTTTAGAGTGTATTAAAATGCTTGAATTTGAAACTATGTCAGTGACATACAGTGTGAACTAAAAATAAAAGCTCGCGGAGTGGATTAAAAGGCTTTTTGAAAAGGTCCGAAAATTCAGTGGTTTTTACGAACGTCTGCTTTGTCGGGCAAACAGAGAGAAAGCTCCCTTTTGATTATTGGCTCCCTCAGGCCAAGTACATCAAGCGGCACGGGCGCGGGTTATCATTGTGAAAAGCGGATCTCTTTCACAGAATATCGGGCGGAAAGTGAATGAGTCGGTCCCTCGGCGATGCGGCGGCGCGCCCCGTTCGCGGGGTGAAAGATTTATGGATGGCCTACGACGGACTTCGCCATATAACCCCTTCGACTCTGTCTTTTGCTTCGTGCTTGCGGACACATCCTTTTCGCTATCGATCCTCATAAGACAATGACCGCGAGCACTTGCAATCGATGAAAAATCCGTTACCGAGCGAGCGCGCGCGCAGGGCGGGAGAGAGAGAGAGAGAGAGAGAGAGAGAGAGAAAAAAGTTAATAGCGTCGAAATTAGCCGAGAGAAAGGAGGGGAGCGCAGATGCGCTCGGCGATATAGGCCGCCTCGTCGCACACACGCTGCCTCTCTCTCTCTCTCGCGCGCGTATACGCGCGCGTAGCACGCACTCATCCATCATTGTCACCGAACTCTTCAGCAGCCCGTCGCCGAGCGTTATAGTGGTTTCCCTCTGTGCGCCTGCCCGCCAGCTTTCTGTTTTGTCTTTCTCTCACTCTTTTGCGCGCGCCTGTGCGATGCACACGTCTCTTCCATACCTACGTACTAAAGCGCCTGCAAGCAACAACATTGCCGACGAACACCATGTCGCTTTTTGACGCTTGGATACTTTTCTCATACGCTTCTCTATAGTGCCAATATATTACGTTGACCTTTTCAAACTAGCAATGACCATTGATTTTCGACTAGCTTTATGTGTATTGCGGTTGGTTCCTTCTGAAAGCTCAAAATTAAGAAAGACAGAAATGAATGCAACGTAATTTAGGCAAATCCTTTGATCTGCGCCACCTAAAATTATAACGACGTTGGCGGATGTATGAGCATTTATAAATAAAATAGAGAGAGATATATATATAAGTGTTCTGGCGTCGATTAAATAATTATACAATGGTTAAATATTTAATTTTTTTACTGCATTTTAATTGATTTCATTACCTTTCGTCTGAAAAGGTAAGTCAAAATTCGTCAATACAACATATTTGGAGACTATCTAAATGTAATCTATGTATTGATTTATAGATCGTACCCGCTCTTCGAGTCACTGAAATTAGTGCAAAAAAAAGAGAAGATGAAGAAAACAAAACAGACGGCTATTTTCGTTAATCCTCGATTTTGATTTTTTTAGACCTTTTAACGTATAAGTAGGTGCGAAAAAGGTGGAATGCGATTTTTTCTTCCTCGCGAATATTTTTTTGCTATGTGATAATTATTGTATAGTGTTTATATGGGTCTGTATGTGTGTGTACAATCGACGATACCTTAATAATAGATTCACCTACAAAAACGCACTTTTACGTATTTTTTTATTCAAGAGTGTCCTATTTCTCACTTATCGTCTACGTGTCGATACTTTGATACTATTTACAAGAGATTTTTTTTCTGTTTTCTTCGTACGTATTATTACGTGTATAAACAACAACAGCTAGGCGTAGATAGTCAATATACAAAAGAGACGGCTCAAGACGGGCATTTTTTGTTTAACTACTAAAGGATTTTTCTTCAATTTATTTGTGTGCTTAAAGTCAGCACGCAGTTTTTCGACGATCACACGCTCAGTTTTTTCTGTATAGTACATCTGTTACCGAATTTTCACATATACACAATTGCAGCGAATTACATAAACATCTGTGTTCAGCCTTAACAACTGTAAAATAGAATATAAAGTGAAATCTAAAAAATAAAAGATTTAAATAAATGACGGTGCTGTATAAAAAAGTAATGAAAAATAAATTTGTCAATTATATACAAAGAGAATAAAAGAAGATAAACAACCGCTCGGTTATCTATAGCAACAACTATACACTCGTCGTATTTGTTTTATTTATACAACAGGCACTAGAATTACGAATATTGCCGTGATGGAATAGTAAACATATCCCTCTCTCTCTCTCTCTCGCTCATATACATGCGCACGCACGAATATGGACAACAGGATGTGCATTTTTTCAAAAGCACAAACATTATATCTACATGTCATGTGTCACACATTCGACGAAACAAACGAAAAAAGGCCATTTGCACTCTCCCTATATATGATACATGGAAAAGAGGTCCTATATTTTATAGATTTATGTATAAACTCCAAGTCTTAATGACTGCAGCTCGTGTCATTCTGTCGAGGTCAGTAAAAAGGTTTCTAGCATGGGTAATGATCGGCAAATTGCACAGTCGATCGGTCTTAAGCGACAATCGTTAGAACAACCTTCCGGCAATTATTATCGCATGAGAAAACAACGGAAAAGAAAATTGCTCCCGTCACTACTGTTGCACAGTCACTCGAACGGTGGATCACAGAACGTCACCAGGTCAGTAGAGTTCATTCAGCAGGTACTGCTCGTCGCTCCAGTCGAGCTGTTGCTGCTGTTGGCAATTATTGTTAACCGACGACGTGGCAGCGTCGTGGGATTCCTGCACTCAGCTCAGTTGGTAATACTCCGGGGCGAAGTCGTTCGCCAGATTACTCAAGAAATTGAAGTCCGACGAGCTGTTGCTGTTGTCAGTCTGCGCTTGCGGCTGTTGCTGGTGCGGCTCTTGCTGATAATAGCCGGCGAAATTGACGTAAGCGTCGGGGGCACTAGCGCCGGCTTGCTGGCCCTGAACGAGCCCGGCGGCAGTCGCGGGGAACGGGTCGGGCGACGAAGCGTAACTCGCCGGTATGCTGGATGCTTCTCCACCGTGATGTTGCTCGTAATAAGCTGCTGCTGCAGGCTGCCCACACTTGCTGGCGACTCGCTGCTGTTGCTGATAGTCCATCGTCGCGTAAGATTGGTCCGTCTGCGGCTGCATCTCCGCATAGTAGTGCTGCTGTTGTGGTTGCGGCGGTCCCGGCTGCTGGTTGCTCTGAGGGCTGACATGCGCTGCTGCGTCGCTGGCTGTCGGCGGCCGATAAGAGCCACCGGGGAGGGCGCTCGACGGGTAGCCGTAATTGACGCTGGCCGACATGTAGCCGTCGCCGCTGGCGCTGTGCTGCTCCGCCGTCGCGTACGACTGGGCAGGCGTTCCGTACCCCGCAGCATTCGCGCTTGGCATGCTTCTGTTCGACGAGAAACACATAAATTGTACGTTCGGATGTTATTTCGTAGTCGTAGCAGCCGGACCGCGCGATTGTACTCACCTTGCGTGGTAGGACGCGTGGTACGTCGCCGCCTGAGGATAGCCATTGTAGTCCGCAGTGTTGGGGTACTGGCTGTGCTGCTGGTGATACTGCTGCATCGTCTGATGATTGTACATAGACCTCGTCGCTCTGGTCTGATGATTGACTCTGCTCATCGTCTGATTCTGCCTCGTCGAGTACTGCATCTCGCCGGGATAGCTGATCCTCTGTTGGTGATAAGCCGCCGCTGCGTCCCTCGGGCAGTAGGCATTCTGCTGGTGATTGGCAATCGTTTGCGCTCTGCCAATACCGTTCCTGTAATCCGCCGTCGTCTGATACTGCTGCTGCTGCTGCTGCTGCTGCTGCTGCTGCTGCTGCTGCTGGTAATGCGGATTCCGGGTGTGAGGTGAAATCGCGGCGCCCGACGACGGCGAGCTTCTCGGTCGCTGCGTGTAAACTCCGTGCTGTTGAACGCTCAGCGGACTGCCTTGCAGCTGCACGGGAGTGCCTGGTGTCGACGACGGCGTCAGACTTCTCGCAGACGAGCCTTGCTGGCTCGGCAATGTCGGCGTCGCCACCGTGGAGTCGGGCAGGGCCAGTAGAACTCCGTTGCTGCTCACGGAGCAAATGTCCTTGACATTGGCGGACGACGGTGACTTCTTGCTGATACTGATCTGCGCGGACTTGCCGGAGTTGTTGGGACTCTTGTGCTCGGCTTCGAGCTTCACGCGCACGTCGAGTTTCTTCCCCGTTGGCGACGTCACGTCGCTGCCGTCGCGCGATCGCGAGTCCTCGTCCACTATCATCTTGTCGAACGTGCTCGACACGCTGTTCGTGCTTCCGACGCTGCTTGCTCCGTTACTGTTCGCATTGAAGCCTGTGCTGTTGTTGTTGGTCGCGCTCGGCGTGTTATTGTTGCTGGCGCTGCCGTCGCGAAGCTCGGACACGTCGTGCGTGCTGCCCACGTCGGCCACGCTCGAGATATCACAGTTGTGGCAGCTCTTCTTCTCGTCCTCGTCCAGCAGATGTTTGCCTTTTGGCTTGCTGCTGCCGTCCATGTCATCGGGTGAGCCGTCTTTGTCGTCACCGTCCTCTTTGCTTAACGTTTGACGCTTGTGCTTCATGCGACGATTTTGAAACCACACCTTCACCTGAAATACCAAGCAGATCACACGCAATTTTATGGATAGATCTGTTACTCGGTGCGGTGCACCTCAAGCAGAACTTTTCTGGGTGGACTGGTATCGCGGTATACAAAATTTCTTTTTCATACTCACCTGTCTTTCAGTGAGATCGAGAGACGCCGCGATCTCGATTCTCCTGGGTCTGCATAAATACTTGTTGAAGTGAAACTCTTTCTCCAGCTCCAATAATTGAGTGTTGGTGTAAGCCGTCCTTAACCTCCTTGGCAGGCCATTCTCTGCAAAGCACAATTTTCAACATTAGCTCTCTTGCGTTTTTTTTTAGGCAGTTTACAACTGTTATGTACCTATGCGCGTGTTTGCGCGTGTTTTTTTCCGAACGCGCTTTCGGTTTGACAACGGCTGATAGCCCGTTGTGATTAATGACTGTCCTAAGAATCACGCCTAAAGGCAAGCCTTCTTCAATCCCGAAAGTTGAGATACATATATACTATATTGTGTCAAAGAATAATCGGAGTAAAAGTCCATTCTCGCGCATTTCTCTGCCTAGACTTTACTAGGACGTTAGTGGACTTTTTCTGTTCGCTGCTCGACAATCGAAGGAAAACGAAAGTGCATCGATCCCAAGGATTTTTCCAATCCATTCCGCCAGCGCGACGGTAAGCGGTGCTGTATACAAGGGCGCATTCTACGGATACTTAACGCCTCTAGCTGGAAAGTTAGCGCTGGCTAAGTTTCTGCCTATCGTCACTGCTGTCGATGCGACCTCGCGCGCTCGCTCGCCTAATTGTTATCGGTAACCGAGAAACTTGACAAAAGCGATAACAAGAGCCTCAACAACCAAGTTCTCGTCATAGTATATTTCCCTCGTGGGAGACGGGGAGGGGGAAGACAAAGTTTACAACGCCCATCACGAAGAATACGTATAGTGATTAATTTTGTCGAATCGACAAGACATCGATCTTGTTTTTCGTGCTCGTTCTCAGAGTGTTTTAATAACGCTTGAAAGCTTTGAAGTACCTCTTTAAAGCTCGCCCTAAGCAAAGGAGGAGGAAAAAAATAAGCGTCGGTGCAATTTAGAAAGCGGCTTACGCTTGCGCGCGGCTGAAATATGTTTATATCGATTACTTATACATTCAGCGGCTAAGCCCGTAACAGTTATCCTCGGAATCTCTCTTTCTCTCTCTCCCTTCTACTTTATATATACGAGGGTTAAATTCAGTTTCCACGGCGATGCAAAGTTCCGATGGCGGGGATGTAAGAGAGGGAGAGAGAGAAAGAGGAAAAAAGGGAAGGACGAGAAGAGCTGTCAATCAAGTATCCACGCCTATCGCAAGTTTTGCTCTCTCTCCGGATGTAAGTAGAAAGGAGAGCAAGTCAGTTGGCTGCTGGCGTCTTTTTTTTTTTTTTTTTTTTTTTTTTCACGGATATTTTTTTCTTCCTGGGCGAACGAACCTGTCGTCAACCGGGTCTCTTCTTGCGGCGAGGATGCTACTCTTGGATTAGGATATCGATTGACGCGGAGGTGTTTTTTTTGCTTTCGCGAGTGTGATCGACAGGTTTTTGTCACGGATACCTCTTGTTGAAGGTTTACCAAGCATTAAGCTGCTTTTCTGTTCGCTTGGTTGTTCCTCGAATTACCTCGTTAATAGACGATTATATTTTCGTATGTGAGACTTATGAGGCTTAATCCTTAGAGCAGATAAATTAAGCGCTCTCGCGAAAAAGTACGAAACAAACACAGCTTGGAAATTCAAACAACAGAGAGCTATATACACGAGGCAGAGAGAGAGAGACTTAAGTTGGACTGACGAAAATATCAACGCGTAAATACAGTTGAGGCCGTGCGATGACGGATTGTCGGACATACGAGTGAAGAGTGACGGGAACGTGTGCGCGAGGTGAGAGAGTCGTAAAGATAGCCTGCTGCTGGTAAATTCTTGCCACGATTATCGTTGCGTATAGAGCCACATATTATTTGTTTCTTGCGCCACTTGTTTCTTAGCTTAAAATTTTCGATTCGACGCGATTGCGTTCGAGCAATTGTCGTTATCCTTGAATGAAATTGAGGGGAACTTTTTCCGAGCTTAATTTTTATTATGAGCAGCGAGTGTTTCTAGGACTCAAAATTGTCTCTTGAATTGAACTTGACTCTGAATAGTGCACTGGTCGAGCAAGTTATCTTGAGTTTTTACAAATTTACGCTTAAATTCATTAAATCCTGAGTTGAGGATTAAACGTAGAAAATTTCGATTAGTTCCATGTTTTAAGTAATTTCGCTTTTTCGATCTCGAAAGCGAATAATAACGAAGCGCCGTTTTGACAGGAACTCATACGAGTATTTCTTGCAAGAATATTTGCCTTGCCGCTGTATCACAGAACTGTCGAACAAGAGAAGACTAAAGAAAATATTATCGTACACGCGCTAAGCAGCAAGCTCAAAGATCGCTCGCGCGCCACTCTCGGCTGAAGATTTTAAAAACGATATTTCAAAGCCCCGTCGTCCTCTTGCTCGCCGTAGACGTCGCAGGCCGTCCTCTCAGCTCGGAAATCGCGCAAAAAAGAGAGCAGCTGTCAGTCAGAGTCTCACTCGGAGACATCCATCTTTTTTATCAAAACGAGCTTCGCTCGCTCTCTTGGTAATTACGCGGGCAAAAGACACTGGCGCCAAGTCAAAGTCAACCCCTTTTGCACGCTCGCCAGCGCTCCACGATCCCTACGTATTAAAACCTCCTTCTTCGCTTCGCTTTTTTTTCGTCGCAGCGCTTCACTGAAAATACATTTCTCTGTCGCGCGTTTTATTTTTAGCAGTCGCCCTGGTAGCGAGTGCGTCACGACAATACGCGCGCGACGTGGCTTTTGACGGACGAGTCGAAGTATACGTGTATATTTCGAGCTTGCGCGCGATCAAGAGTCCGAGCTTCAATCATCGACAGCGTGACGCGTTGCTGCCGTCGGCCGTCGCTGTGTTGCTGTTTTCTCAGTGCACCGTCGCTCAGTGTTTACGTTGCGTGAATGGCTTGATGTCGATGTTTTTGCTAGAACATTTGTCAGACAATGCGAAAGCTCGGGTTGGTTTTCCTGCTTGTCTCGTTTGTTCGATGATTTCTCATAACTTTGAAAAGATAGTATCATACATGAAGATTGTTATAACTATAATAAAAATAGAACTACTTTCTGTGCATACCACATGTGATTTCTTAACTAGACGTTTAGAAATTTCATTATGAGCGACTTTATAAAACAACGCACAAAAAGTTTGTAATTGATATGAAATTGCACAGGAGTAATAAAAAAAAGTTCACGTTTTCAAATGTGCAACCCACCGTTTCTATTCATTGGAAAAATTTCTGTTCCCGTACGAAATGCTTGCTGAAACAATTGCGAAAAGAGGAAAGAGCAAAATGAGAATTTGATATTATTGTTGAGGTTCGTTTTATTACGTTTATATAAGTCATATGAGGATTCCGTCGGCTGTGTATCCAAAAATAAGTACCAATTTATTTGATCACAAGGTATTAATTTTCAGGTAATTTGCGAGCTTCACTTGAATTCTTTACACGCGACTCTACGAGTTTAATTTTAATCGTTAGGATGCTTATCAAGTGGCAGAGTGGATATAAATGAATGCTTCCATTTATAACGAATGATTGCATAATAATACAATTAGTGACGAAATACATATTCATCGACTTGAATTAACGAGTGAAACATGACTTGATGCGATAAACATACACCTGCAAGTTACTTGTAACATGCATATAGATTAATTTAAAAAATGAGCAATTTTTCAGGAAACTTGTCTATCCTGCTATATAATTTCACATATACGTCGCACACAATATTAATATTACAGTGAAATCAAGACGATTCTCGGTCTCTTTTAAAAAAATATACAGTCAGGCGATGGAAATCGGCACAATTAGAGAAAAAGTAACGGTCTAAGAAAACTAAACGTCAAAAGTCAACAAACCCTGTAATTACAATTCGTTGTTCTGAAGGGAAGAAAAATGCGAGCCGATGCCACGTGAATGAAAAAAATGTAGAGCAGCAGCAGCAGGTCGGCGCGCGACTTTGCACTCTCGCAGCCGACAAAGTAGTGTAGCCGCGCGGCTCTTTGCTCGGCGCCTGAGGGGCAGGTGGCATCGTGGGGTCACCGCGGCATAATTTGTCTTTTGTTTCCCCGCGGCGAAGAGAATTTCAGCACAATGCATTGTGGAGCGACCTTCTTGACCAAACGTTTACGTGAAAAATGATGAGAGAACAGTTCGGCGCAACAAACGACGCCGAGGAAAAGAGAAAGGCAAAGGCCAAGCAGCGATGATCACCGAGCGACGACGATTTTCATGCTTCGCGTGTACTTGAGGCGGATGGTTTTTTTTTAAATTTCTTTTCCTCGATCGCGCATCCGGTAGTTTTTAATTCATACGGATGACGGTCTTCGCGTGATGAATTGTGCGAGCAATGAAAAGGGCATGATTCGAAACTCGTGCGCCCATTGTACGAGTCGGCTGACCGTGTCATCTAGTTTAAGATTACGACTAAAGAGCATGAGGGTCCAGATTTTTCCAACCAGCAGCTATGCTATTGTACATTGTTTGCAAACGTATTTTTGACGTGTGGTAACACTGAGTGATTTCATTCGGTGTGTCCGTGACATTTGATGCATGAAGAATTAAACGCCGTCCGTTTCAAATTCCGATGTATACTCTTGTGTTGAAGTCATAGATTAGCTTTTAATCAATGCCTTTGAAGCATCACTCATCAATCATTAAACGCGCACGTGTTCATCTTGTTAGTTAGCTCTTTGTCAAAGTCTGTCGCATAATTGTTAACATTGAAATTGCCAATTCAATGAAGTTTCAATCAGTGAGTTTCTGGAATTTCCACGGTTACGAGCGCAGTGCGCAGCGTCAAAAAACCAACCGATCTTTCAATTTCCACATGTCGCGCGTAAATATTTCGTACCACCAGAATGCTCAAGTTGAGTATCGAGCGTGACAAGTTGCATAACGACGTCATAGTTTTGATACGACGCACACGCTGTGCTATAACTCCCACAATTCGGAGAATTCATTGTGCACAGATATAACTTATAAGCTAAGTTTCTCAAGCTACACTCGATCACTTTAATGATTCCAAGTCGTCGCGGCGGCGGTTCAATATAAAGCCAGCGCTCGCGGGTCGCGTGCAAGGTGGGAACGTCAAGCAGGTTCTCGCTCTCAGAAAACAATAGCCCTCGCACTCTAGACTCCCAACTACTAGTCGTAGTACTACT